CTGTTTTACAATCTCTGACTTTTTGTACCTTCTTGCCCAGGTAAGCCTCAGCAGTCTCCTTCATCTTAGTCAGCACCATAGCAGAGACCTCCTCGGGAGCAAAGGTCTTCATCTGACCACCACCAATGTCAACCTGGATATGGGGCTTGCTCTTCTTCTCAGTAACCTTCAGAGGAAAACATATCAATATTAATTTAACAACAACTTCACTCAAACAGGACCCAAAGAACAAGCAACTACAAGTTCTACTTTCAGTTTACAAGCTCACCTTGAAGGGGAAGTACTTGATGTCCTGCTGCACAGACGAGTCACCCCATGTGCGACCAATGAGCCTCTTGGCATCAAAGATGGTGTTCTCAGGGTTAGAGGTCAGCTGATTCTTGGCAGCATCACCGATCAGACGCTCACCTTCACTGGTGAAGGCCACGTAGGAGGGGGTAATTCGGTTTCCCTGGTCATTGGCAATAATCTCCACACGTCCATTCTTGAACACTCCAACACTGCAAGAAAACAGTTTGAATTTAGTCTGAATGCCATTTTATTCCACAGTGGCATCATGTCACTATTTAAAGATTTTAACGTGACTTGTTACCATGAGTATGTGGTCCCCAGATCAATCCCAACCACAGTCCCCACGTTGTCCTTCTTATCATCATCATTGTCGGCGGCAAACACTGTGCCGACCACCAGCATCACAACCCACAACAGCTTCATCTTTGCTTGTTTGTACTTAAATCTACAAGCAGATCTGCAGAAAAGAAATACAACATAAGATATTAGGTGGGTTCAGCCTCCCAAGTTCCAGTAGCCAGAAACTAACGGTACTGCGTAATGTCACTTGCTGAGCTTGCAGACCCACGGCAGACTAAAAGTTGGTCTTGGCAAATAAATATAACAGGAAAAATGAATTATCGATCAAATAAGATGGATCACCAGTCAATCATTCCATCATTACCACCACCCCACTGCCAATTCCCCGGTATCTTGCTAACTACGCTACCATGCCTAGCAGACATGCAGGGGGAAACCACCATGCTAGAACATTCCAAACTACATCCTGTTTATTATATTTAGGTTACAGAGTATGTACAGTTCATTCAGACGACAGTAGTGTAGTTACATTTCAGCTGGTTTATTTGTCAATATTTCGCTTAACCGGTTTTATCTTAATAAAACATTTTGCAGAAAATGGAAAATACAGCTATGCTTCATTATCATATTCATATTAACGCTTTATACATACCTTAACAGAAGTACAACCAATGATTTAACGGCCTTTGCGTTTCCTCTACCGGTAAGAGTCGCTTAGAGCAAACTGTATCTCCTTCCAATCTTTACTTGTCTAGAATAATGCTGGACGAAATGTGGTCTCTCCATATATAAGCCGTCACTTCTTTCCCGTCGTGGAGGCTCGCGATTGGCTGAGCTGTTGCTCGTTGGAACACGCTGATTGGTTTCATTCAGCACGCTGGCCGCCGCTGATTTGCACACATCAGGTTGAAACGACGTCACCGTATGTGTCCACTGCGCCGACGCTGATTGGCTGTCTGTCAAGGGCAGTCCTGAACACAGTTGGTGCAGCTACATGCCACTCTCAAGGCCGGGTGGGTGCATTTCTCGTACTTCAGACATTTACAAATTTTTGCTGCAATAATTTTTTTTTTTTTGCAATGGCCCACCAAGTGTTAGATTTGTAATCTTAATTTTGCGGTTTTAAGGCGTGTCATTACGAGGAGATAGTGATGCAATTGTGAGAAGTAACGACTAACTGCAATGAGTATGAAAATCCAAATCCTTTGTGTGATTGTGGTGAATCTGACAGGAAATCTTGTACCAGGTGAACTGGGTTGTCTGGGTGTTTCCTCAGTGAATGTACAAGTCTTAGCCAAAGACTTCAGATACATGTGATCACACTGATTTCAATTTGGTTGGAATCTTTTGCACACATAAGAAGGTAACATAAACTGGCGCATTCAGTTGGGTTTCAATTCAATCAACAAGACAAATATTTGATTAAAAGGTCAAGGAAGCTGACTGCCACTGTCAAGATATGATCCTTGGCAAGTGTCCCAATATATTCCAGCCAAAGTATAAGGCTATGATTTGGATATTTTAAAAACACATCAACTAATTGCAAGAATTTTCTAGAATCCAAAATCATTACATGGATAGAATTGAACTGATCTGCTTTCTCCTACTGTGATTTATCCAAATTCTTCTATTGACACACTGATATATTTCCAGAAGGTTCCTGAACTAAACCGGTTGTACTGTCAGGAAGAATGTAGAAAAGTCATAAAATTATAAAATATCAGTGTAGCAGCTAAGTTTTCTCTATTTGTTTTATTTATTTATTTACAGTGTTTCCCATAAAAACCATAAACACTTCTGTGTTTAGATTTAAAACCTCTTACTTAGTGGCCTCCAATTCTGATAATGTTTTATGGGAGAAAAACAACTGAACATCAGATTACAGTGTTTCATCTTTTTCTTTATTGTTTTAAGGTAATGCAACATGTTTTATTAGCCCTTTTCAGACTTTGCAGGGATTTCTACAGAATATTTTAATATTCTAATCAAAGGATACCCTCATTTTAAAGCTAATGCTGATGCACTGAAAGCCATATTGTTACAGAGAAGCCTTCAGTTCCTGTTAGTAGAATTCATTATATTTTATTCAAGAAAATCTAAAAGATGCATTTATATTCTTTATAAGGTCCTTATACTGTCAGGCAGCTTACTATTTGTGTCATTCATATCCACTTTCTCTGTGTTACAAACAAAAGCAAAACTGACCTGTATACTTGAAAGACAATGATGACTCATTAAGACTTAAACTACACAGGGCAGTGAAACAAACCAGATGGAAAATTCTGAGTTAAATGTGTCATTTTCTTTGAATACAATTAAACTTTTTACTTGGACTGTTAAACCTGGTTAAAAAAAAAA